ACAAACTACTGAGGTTATAAAATTACAAAAAGGCTGCTCATTTTTTTTTTATACTTCTGTCACAGAAAAGGTGTGCTCACCAGAGAGAGAGACAGAGAGAAGTAAAGTCATCCCTCTAGGAGGGATGACCATGCCACAATTCCTTCTCTTTCATTCTCCTCTTGGAATTTTGGGCACACACGCACACATGCCCTGCCTGTTTAAGCCACTGGGTACCGGACTCAACGATGGTTGGCCATGTGGGAGTTCAGTGCCTTAACCACCATGCCACTTGCTGGCTCCTGGTCACTCATTTTTAACAGCATGCTTGTTATACCCAGCAACTACTGAAAGGACATCATATAACCCTACTATTGGATAAGATATTGAGATTACTTATCCAAAAAGAGCTTGAGAATTCTGCATTCTGATAAGAGCAATGGAGATCTTCATCTAAAAATGATGTTTGGGGCTAGTCAAATGGTATGGTGGTCAAGGCAGTTGGATCCGACATGGCCAAGTGTGCAGCTTGGTAGCTTAAAAAGCATGCTCTCTCTGTGTGTGTGTGTGTGTGTATGTGTGTGTGTCTAAAATCCCAAAAGCAGAATGGAGGAGAAAGGATTGGGGTATTGCCATACCCTCCTCACCCCCCTCACCCGGCCCGAGAGTGCTTTTTCACTTTCCCTTCCTCTCTCCCTCTCAGTTTCTCTCAGAATTTTTGAATTTTTAATTCTTTAGTTTTTTTTTTTAATTACTCCATTTCTATACAACATTAAATTAATGAAACCAGTAGCCAGATAGTGCTGTAATATCTCTGCTGTCACAAAAGGCCAACTCCAAGAAAGAGCACCACGATGAAGGCTAACTGACATGACCACAACGTCCCAGAAAACGCTTGACCCTCCTTACTATATTTGATGTTGCAACATTTGCCTCAAATGTGCCTAAGGCCCAAACAAGAAAATAAAAGGCCTCAAATTTTCTTTGAGTAGTCTGGAAACCTCTTACTTCCAAATATATTAATGTAAAATGTCTCCTTTGCCATTCTTTTTTTTTTTTTTCAGGTGAGAGTTTATATTTGTGGTTTTGGCTCATAAAAACATGTTCCAAAGGGCAAGGAAAGTATTAATATATGTACAATTTTCTTTATGCAATAACTAACACAACACCATTAGGAGGAATGGTGGAAAACTATATTTAAAACCAAAAGAAAATCTCTGTATTAAAAAAGCAAAATGCCAAGCCCCAAACTGTAAAGCAAAACACGATACCTTGATCTTTCCTTTCAGATAAGAAGAGTAAAAAGAGTGAAGTGGTTTTTGAAAAGGAAGAGATAAAGAGGAAGATAAAGATTTTCTATCCAAGTTTTTACATAAAAGAGCACGAAGGAAAGTATGTCCAGTTGTGTCTCAGAAAATAAATTGTCAAGGTTGTTTCTGCTTAGGAAACATACTGATTTTGGGAAATTTTCCTGATTTTTTAGATATGCCAATATGATATCGGCATTTGGTTAGGAGAAGTAGGGAAGTGTGGGATGGAAATGATTGGTTAGAAAGATTGGCACTGCGTAGTGAATTCACCATATATTTGCTAGATGTTCCAGTTTGAGAATTAAGTGATTTGATAAAAGCCCCATTACCTTACCATTGAGATTAAGTCCAACAGCCCCAGATGAATAGTCTACGGCTCAACTGTCTGACCCTGGCATTTCTAAGACACTAATAAATGACTCAGTTGTTGCTTTCATTCATCATATAAAACCAACCAGGAATATCATAAGTAAAAAAAAAAAAAACAAGCAAAACACAAGACCTACAATCCTACGTGAGTATACCATGTTCATTAAAAAATTTTATCCTTTGACCACATCAACATCAGGCTCTGTTCATGAAGCATATGAAGGAGTAAAAGCAAGCTGTTAGGCAGCAAGAGCTATAATTTTCAATGTAAATATGCCCAAGGAAGCTACATGTAGACACTTACATATTTTAGTGATGGCGTTGATGAAGGTGATAAAATATTTCACAATACTTTATTCAAAAGATAGTAAGTAGTATAAAATACTCCTAGAAACCATGATATAATTGTGTCTTTTGGGAACACAAGAAATTTGATGATGATTATGTTCATGTTGATGATCAGTTTTGAAGACAGTGATAAAATGCTTCATTTCTTAGCATAGATCATCTGGTTTTCATTTCTTTTGGAGGTGAAAATACCCTCTATATGGAAATTGTTGAACAGGTGTGTTTTTTCCCATTTCTCTCTCTTTTCCCTTTATTTTCTTAGAAAGTCCAGTGATTTCATTTCTAGGATGGGGGGAAAAACTTTAACATCTAAAAAATGCCACTAAAAATGATAATGTCAAACTCAAGTTCAGACTAAGTCAATTTTAAGATAGGATTTTTCACTTTTGTTGAGGGGGGATTAGACTTTTAATGTTTCTTTCATAGAGAGAAATTGAGAGCAAACTTCCCAAGGATAAAAGGTAAGAAATATTTAAATAAATTGTCCTAAACATAAATGCTAGGATAAAAAATAAGTATAAAAGTTCTGACTGACGAGGAATTTTCTCTCAGGAGAATTTCCACATGATCATTTTATTTTACTTCCATATGGAGTCTGTAAAGGAACCTAGTAAATCCATAAGGCTTTATGATTGACCTCCAGAAATAAAACAGAACTGCACTGTTAGAAGGGTCCAACCCAGTAATTGTTGAAGTCTTTGTGGAAGGAGATGCCCTGCTTCCAAGACTGCCATGTTGTTAGTGGAGGTGAGTGAGAGTGCTCCATAGGGTTGTAGATAAAACTAAAGGCAAGATTTTCATTCCTAAGATTGATGATGGAAATGTGATTTGTAGATGCTTTTTATAAATGTTTTCTCCAAAACCTGATTTCTAACTCCACTATTGACGTTGTATGTTTGTTAAAATATTTCATCTCAAAATATTTTCCCATTTAATATTTTTCCAAGCGATGATAGCATAAACTCTATTTCCCTTTAAAGTTCGTTTTGCTTACTCTATATATTTTTCAGTTTAATATACAGCCCAAAATTATGTTATGTTATTAGTTTGCTTAAGTTTTCATTTTATGCCTGTTTTAAATTCGATTCAATTAAGCTCTTAGCATTGTATGCTAGATTTCTGAAAAATCATTGTTTTTATTCATCATGTATGAATTATCATGAGACTAAGAGAGAGCCTATGTGATTATCCTTCAAAGTATGGAGCTGAAAGAGATACATTCTTGATAATGCTTAGGGAGCAGCTCATGAACAAGCCTCTCATTGGGAACTCTTGTGAGCAAAATAAAAATGAAAAGTGTAAGTGAAGAAAACTATACCAAGTGAAACTGCCTTTTCAAAAAGTGCTGGTCTATTTCAAAAGAAGTGTTGATATTCTCCAAAAGCCTCCATTCTGTCCCTCAGGGCTTCTCTCCATCTTGTAACGGCATAATCAAAAAGCACTGGTATTCTGTTCTTACAACTACATTCAGCTGTGATTAATCCTCTCCATAGTTGATCTGCCTCTTCGTGTGTCCCAAAGACTAACTGCAACCATTTAGGTACCGTGTCACATGGAAGGAAGTGTGATTAACTCATTGATGTGTCATGTTTTAAATTTAAATGACCATGGAAATGTTCTAGTGATTTGGCTTTATCAGGTTGATGGCTCAGCATAAATATTTCTTAACTGTTGTAAGAAACTTCAGAAAATTAGTGTACTTGCGTGACACTGTTTCGTTTTCTTGTTCAACATTTAAAAATTATTTGGGAGGACTGAAGAGTACGTATAGAGATTTATAATTACGAAGTTGACTTTAAAACTTCACAATGATGTTTTCGATTAAAATAGGATATAACTTTCCTTTTTAAAGGTGGAGGAGTCTTTAGTTGTTGTTTTTTTTGGGGGAAGACTTTGGCTCTACTGTTTGTTTTTCTAAGTAAATTTCCTCAAGCAATTACTGCAAAATAACAAGAGCTAGCAAATACGATTGGCATGAATTTCTCTGAAAATAGTATGCAAACAAAATTTACAGAAAATTCACTACTAGTATGAATCTAAATTGACCTTACCCTTATGCAATGAAAGTAATTTTTACCTAATACTAAGTTATATTCTATTTCAGATTTCTTATTTCAAAGGGTGTCTCAAATTTCTAAGATGTTAAATCAAGTATTGAGCCATTTTTGTATATGTAATAAAAGTCTTTAAAATTAAAATGGTAATCCTAAAAAACCCAAATGCATGAAAAATATGGTCTGACTGTATAACAAAAGGGAGTTATATAATTCTACTTGAGTGAAATCTTTCATCTTTGATTTACAGGTTAGAGTCCTTTCTAACTAAAACCATATTGTCCCATATCTTTCATATCATGGCCTTCCCTAAACCTTGTTTTAATTAAGGTTTCTTTCAGATTTTTGAATAAAAGCATGACAATCTTCACTTATGGCTTTAATATATCCTTTGAGTTAGGAAAATATATAGAAAGAAACATCAACTCTTTCAAAAGCATTGTCAGATATTAAATACTGCACGGTATTCTATCTCAATGTCTTTAGGTGTTTGAGTTGTACATTGAAATAGAAGTTTCAGAAGTAGAGGAATAACCTACTTATATTTAGTATGTTGCTTTTAGTTTCAGAAATAAATGTCCTTTATTTTTAACCGTTGACACTAAAGCAACTTGCATAAAGGTTAAGTTTTTTTTTTTTCACCCCAAGAAGGCATAACTTCTAGGTTAACTCAATTTAAGGTGACTACAAATAAGCAGCGCCTTCATTAACCCATATCAAAGATTTAGAAAATTCTGTGACATGGTTTAAGCCACATTTGCCTCAATGATTTCACAGCTAAAAGAACACAATTAGGCAAAGCAACTGTTTCCCTAGAAAGTAAACAAAATAAACTAAATATTCAAAGCCCCCAAGTAATAGGAGAGATTATGGGTAATTTTCAGTTTTTCTAAGGAAAACAAGGATGAAAGGGAAGAAGACAGGAAGTGATGGAGGGCAGGAAAAGAAAGGTGAGAGGATAAGTTCTTGATAGATTCTGAACAAATTAGGACCATCTTTGAAAAGTTATGTGCTTTTCAAAAACACTGAGAATCTTCTGTGGAACATATGCTCAGAGCTACTGTCATCAAGACAAAGGATTTAAAGGAGGGAGGAAGACCTCATCCTCCAACACAATTGCAAATGGCCTGTGTGTGAGAACAGAAAGGAATGTGAGGAAAATGAGCTCATTTTTCTCAAAAGATGCGACATAAAATAGTGCACCATTACATACAGTGCATGAGGTTCCTTTGGCATTTAAACTTTGAGATGCAGTGTGGGTTATTCTACTGAAAAAAAAGCCTCATCCCAATTCCTCCATCTTGAACTCTTACTAGGAAGAGTGGAACTGTGTGTTTTAACAAAGAAAAAAAAAATCAAAACGGCAACAACAAAAACCCCAAACCCTAAACAGAACAAAATTTAAAAAACACTGTGATCTCTCTGGAATTACTATCTGTTCATAGCTGAAAGCTAATCCTGTAAACAATTTAAGATTACTTGACAAAAAAATTACCCAATAAAAAACTGATCAGAATGTCAGGAATGAATATGTGTCAGGTTTTGCCCAAAATTTCACTGGCTATCATAGCTTCTGAAATTAACAACAGCTAATGCTGTATTAGATGTTCCTAGTTCATACTTTCTGTCTGGGATTGGGTCACCCAGCATATTAAAAGCACACTGGAAGCGGTTTCTTCTAATCGTGGTTTACTGTAACTTTAGAATCACAGCAGTTACGTTGAAGGAATCTTTAATGCCCTTTCAAGTCCATCCAAAGAACAAGTGAAGCTGCTGTTCAGAATTTTGTGCCCAGTGTTTATGTTCCATCGAATCTGTGCCACCCAGGCAGCAGACAAGACATGTCTGAGGGTGCTGGGGTTGGGGGGGGGGATACACAATGATGTCACACACAGGAAATATCAGGGGGAGACTTGGCACTTCACAAGGCTGGCTCCTCTTCCATAGGCTCACCAGCAGTTCTGTAAAAATAAACAGGCAATCAGAATACGGCATAAGAGTACACAATGACATTGTAGATTTTCATGCATAATCAAAGCTGATTTTTCAGCTCTCTCTGATGTTTATTTGTGTTATTCAGTTATCCATAAATAGAGTTTCTTTCCTAGGAAGTATAAACAAATGTCAAGTGGAAAAACATTTTAGATCCAAGCAATCACTGGAAATGTTCCTGTTTATATTAAAACATGTCAGAATATTTTATAACTCTAGATTCCAAAATGTACATGTTTTGTGTTTAGTACAGTCCAATAATTTATTGAAAAAATTAGCTATGATATTTTATTTTAGGAGCAATTGCCGCGATTTCCTATGGAACCAGTTCGCTAGGGAGAGCAAAGGACCCAGCTAGCTTCTGGAGGAGACTCACCATGGCTCTGGTTTTTGCTTCTGTGCTTTCATAACTGGATTGGCTGCCTGCCGGAGGCATTTCAAATCAAATTCTGAATTTGATTAGCAAATCGCTGCTACAGACCCAACATTTTTACAAGAAATGCACTATGGTAGTGTGTAAATAGTTTTTATTCGGCCTCATCTGTGGGGTGTTCTGCTGGGGCAAAACCAAAACTAATTGCTTGAAAATTTATACTTGAGATTTAACCTTAATTTAGCAACACTTTGAGGGTGTTTTAAGGCAAACTTTTTAGAATAATTTTTAATTTAGTCAAAAGAACAAATTGTAGCAGAAATCCAAATACACGGGGTAGTTGGACTGTTGTGAGAAGATTGCTGGGATTTGGGTTGCTGGGGAAATTAAGTATAAAGCCAAGCTCTGCGATTTGCTGAATTTGCAACTGCTATTGTAACCACACTTCTGTGATGCTGCAGTTTCAAGTCTAAACCACGAGAAGAAAGATGTACCTGAGAGAATTAATAAAGGTTAAAATAAATTAATAAAGGGAGTGAAATTGATGTGTAAACAATAAACACTATGAGACATTAGTTATTTAATATTTTGGATTCATGACTTTGTCATCCAACAGATGCCGAAATCCTGCTAAATGGCTCACAAGCACAGATATGCCTGCACGACCTCCCGGGAACGCATTTGGGTGATGATTCTCTAGGTGATGAATAATAGTAGGTGCTTTTCGTTCCTCCTTCATGTTGTTATTTACTGGCCACTATTCTATAATGAATTGCTTTCAGATCAGAAACAAATGCTGCATTTAAAACACAGATGTTTATGTAGACAAAAGAACTATTGAGCTATGTTACTTTACAGACTCACAAGGGAAAAGAGACAAAATATCAATGAATCTTTAAATAAAATAGTTGCCATTTTAGCTTAGCATTTTGATGTTAAATATAAAACATGGAAAGAGTTTATACATGGAATTATAATAAAAGATTTCTAACATACACTTTAAAAGATAAAGAATGAGAAGCATTAGATAACCTTATGTAATGTTACCCCCCAAAAGAGAAAATCCTAAGAGAGTCCATGTAGAATAGCAAAAAAAAAAAAAAAAAAATCCTTAGGAAGCTATAGCTAGCTTGTCCTAAAGTATTTAAGATAAGGAGGTTGAAAGAAAGTAGTGTAGAATTGTATATAAGATAAAAACTATCTAAATCAGTCATTATTCAAAATCTTTTCTACCTAAAATTATAAGTATTTAAAGAAGAAACTTTTTAAGTTAAGGAACACATTTAAGTTTCTAAATTAATGTATATATAAACATGCACGCTTATTTACATCTGAGACTTTGTGAAAAATACAGTTACAGAAAACTCACACTGGGTATTCTAATGGGGACCGTCTCTAACCCAAAGCCACAGTCATAGACAGTGGAGTGTAGAAAATGCCCCAGGGGTCACGCATGTAAGGAATACACATCTCCTTTGGGTGGAGGGTCTGTGCATTCTCCACATGCCCAACCTTGACTTTGAGGATACACACAGCCCATATGCACTGCAGTCCACTTACTGGTAAAAACTCAACCTCTTCTGTTGAAACATAGTGACTTGCAAGTACAGTGTAAAGTTTTTACATTGGATCCTTCTCTTCCCTTTCCTCCCTTTAAAATCATTTCCTACAAGCCTGTTTTTAAAAAATAGTCCATTTCTGCTTCCCACCTGAAACATATCCATATGCACATAACTAATCAGTTCTTCCCTGTGTCTTATAGCATAAAAGTGTTAGTAGCATAACAAGTTGTGGTGTACAATTATGTTTTCCTTGAAATTGGTGTTCTATTTCCTATGATTTTAAAAATGCTTATTAAATTACATTAATATTATTTCATAAAACATCATTTTCTCTTGTTGATTTAATTTCCTCTCTATATCTTACTTCCATTCTCCTCCTTTCCAAAGACAAGGAATCTAATGCTTGTTTCATACATTATTTTGTTTGTAGAAAGTTCTTTCAAAATATATGCTATTGCTTTATGGATATATATTTTTGTCTTACATAAATTTCTATTTTATATAGATATGTATTGTTTTTCTTTCTTAATTTTCTTACTCAGCACTATACTTATTAGATCTATTCATGTAGTTATATTCATCTACTCTGGTAACTACTACGTGGTATTATTTAGTGTGCATCTACCACATTTATTCTCCCACTAATAAAAAGTGGGCTTGACAATAATTCTGATTCCATTATTAATAAAAGTATATTAAACTTCCAGAGTCACCCAAATGACTCTATTTACCTTATACTTCAAGGAGGAGGACTTCTAGGTCACATGCCTTATGTGTATTAAATAGTGTTAAATTGCTACCTAACATGGCTGCCATAGTTCAGCTGTGAGGGTATCAAGGGCCCAGACTTTCCTGTACTCCTCAGTTTACTGATGTTTTCACTGATTATAAAAATAATTATTGAGTCTCTGCTGTGTGTCCTGACTGAGTTGTAGGTACTAGGGCCACATCGATGAACACAACAGATGAAAATCTCTGCCTACATGGACTCTACATTCTACACTGACTTCATTCACAAATGTTTACCACTAATATATGTAAAACAATATCTTGTTGCTATTTAAATTTACATTTCTTTGATAACTAATGAGTTCGAGTATCTTTTTAAAAATTTACCCCCTCCAGTTGAGTCTATTATACTCATCCTCGTCAATAGATAATAAACCTTATCTGTGTCCCACAAGTGTCTTACCTGTCCATTTACCCTCCCAAATTTCCTTTCCTATGCTCTTCCCCTCCCACATACTCTTTCCACTTTGTCTCTAGTGTCCATTACAATTTTTAATGCTTTTATATTCTCTAGTTTTTCAGTCTCCATCATAGAGTGCAGGCAGTCAGTACATGTTAAGTGGAGACATACAATGTTTCTCTTTCATAGCCAGCCTTGCTTCACTCAGCAACAAATCTTCCATTTTCATCCACTTTCTATCAAATTCCAGGGCCTTTTTTTTTTTAATGGCTGAATAGTATTCCATGGAGTATATGTGCCACGATTTTTCAATCCATTCATCTGTTTGTGGACATTTGGTTCCATGTCTTAGCAATTGTGAATAATGCTGCAATGAAAATAGTTGTGCAAGCACTTTTCCAACTGAGTGCTCTCCTGTCCTTTGGGTAGATACCCAGGAGTGGAATTGCTGGATCATATGGTAGTTCTATGTGAAGGTCTTTGAGGAACCTCCATATCGTTCTCCACATATTTAGTATATTCTTGCAGAATATTTATTATATTCTTACATGCCATGCTGGATTGAGGTTTAAATCATGCTGGGAAAAGTCTCTTCACAATCTAAATGATGTATAGTGATTTAATGTACAAATAATAATACAATTTTTTTAATTAAAAAAACTTATCTTTCAGCAAACCTCAAAATTCAGAGTCAAAGAGAATCAAATTACTTATATTTCCATGCCATAAATGAGTCTGCTTATCTTACTGACTTCATTTTGTTGTTTCCCAAATTCTTGAACTCATTTTTATATTGCATTGTTTCGTTCTTCAGAATTTTATGAATTAAATTTTTTTGTTCTTTTTTTATTTCTACCTTTACTTTGCATTTTTCTTCATTACCCAACATAATACTAGTAGTAGACATTCTATAAATGCTTTTTGAAATGTTCGTATATGTATATCTGGGCGTTTCTTAGAAGTAATATAAATCAAAAATAAAATCGGAATTTAAAATGAAAGAGTACAAATTCCAGAAATATTCTCAGTTTAGACTTGTGTTAGAACTCCACACATGAATGTGTGATTGGAAATATATTCCCACATATCACAAGTTCTTACAAGAATTAAAAGCAAATTAAAAGCAAATACATACACATATCACTCTACCATAACAGTATAATCAACTCTAGGTTTTGGCTGGGAATTCTCATAGACTTTCTAATAGTAACCATTACCAAGTCCTAGCTTCCTTCTCACTTCCTTCCTCCCTCTTTACCTCTTAATTCAACAATATATAATTACCTCAAATCCACTTTTTTGGGGCCAGCAGGTGGTGTGGTGTTTAAAAAAACTGGAGACCACATAGCTGACCATGGTTTGAATCCCAGACCTGGTGGCTTGTTTTCTCACATTCCTTCTCTCTCTCTCTCTCCCTTTCTCTCTAAGTCCCTCTCTGCTCAAAATAAAATAAATAAAAACAAATAAATAAATTTAAATAATTCTTAAAAAATTTTTTTTAAATCCACTTTTTCCTTTTCTGTCTCTCATCTAACAGCATCATCATTAAGAATACCACATTTGATTTTTTTCTTCCATCGACATTTCATGAATTGCTAACTACACATTTCTTCCATAATTTATCTACAATATGCTTATTTCCTGTACATTTCTTCTATCATCATGAGTTGGCTTACTTGACACAATTACCATAAGAATTTTTTTATGTCTCTTTAGAATATTTAGTATATTCTTGCATGCCATTATCTTTTAAAAATATAGACATATATTGTCTTTTTGCTGTAATAGCTGTCTGAGTTCATTTTGTGTTGCTCTACTCAGATACCAGAGACTGGGTAATTTGTG